CCGCGCGCACGCCGATGCTGTGGATGCGCGCCAGATCCAGCCCGAGGTCACGGCAGATCGCTCCGCGGCCACGCACTGGCCCGGACAGCCGCACCTTCTTGCCCGGACACGACGAGAGCAGCAGGTTGCCCACGCTGCCCTCGTCATTTTCGCCAGGGATCGTGTTGAGCGCCTGCGTGTTCTCGCGCGCCGCCTGCTCGGCCAGCTGCGACTGCGACAGATAGTTGGCGCTCGGATCGGTGGCGGTGACCGCGGCGAGGTCGAGCATGTGGTGCAGCCGGATCAGACGGCCGCAGTGCACCTGCTCGTGCGCGTGGTCGTCAAAATAGCGCTCCGTCGCCGCAGTGCCCGCGGCGGCGCTGTCGGCGCGCAGTGCACGCAGCTGCGGCTCCGCGAGCGCACGGATGCGCCGTCCGACTTCGGGCAGCAGCTCGTCGGGCAGGATGGGGCTGATGTGAATCGGATGCGTGTCCGATGTCTTCATGGCCAGCTGGTTCTGCGGCTGTTGCTGTTGCTGCTGCTGCTGCTGCTCCGCCGACGAGGACTCGGCTAGGCTGCTCGCCGGTCCAGAGCCGTTGCCTGTCATGTGCACGAGCGGGCCTAGCGAGCTGTTGTCTGTCACGGCGGGTGCGCGCTCGTCGACATGACCCGGCTTAGGGGCGGTCGTGTCGACGCTCTCCATCTCCTGCGCCATGACGCGCTCCTTGTCCAGGGGTCCGCCCACCTCGACGTTGCTTCCCGCTTCGGACGACGTCATCAGCTCGTCGGCCACGGTGTCCTTGTTGGCACCTTGGTTGCCTTGCGCGTTGGGCTGAGTGCCACCGTTGGTGCGTGAGGTTTCTGGCGCAGCGGAGCCATTCTCGGCCATTCGCGTGGAGCGGTCGAAGCGCGAGAGGTCGACTTGGTCCGAACGCGATACTGGCGCAACCTCATCCTCCTCCGAGGACGAGGCGGGCTCGGGCGCGGCCGTTGCGGAAATGGACTCGGCCATGGCCTCGCCAAGGTCGCGCTCGACCTGTTTGAGCTCGGAGCCGTCTATGTCGGCATCGGTGCGGAGCACACACCTTGCGCGCGTGTCGGGCGGTGTTGTGAAGGATGCGGGGCGCTTGGTCCCAAGTTGTGCAGGTGCTGTGCTGGCGTCGCGGGGTTGTGCGGGGTGGGATGGCTTCTTGAAGACGTCAGCCGGGAGGCGAAGCACAGGCAGATCTTCGTCGTCGCTGTGCGCGGCCGCGACTTTGCGGCGACGCTTTGCGATGAGCCACGCTTTCGCCTGGCGTTCCTCGACGCGCTGGCGCATCATGGTGGTATGAACGACATCGGGCTGCTGCAAAGTGATGGGGATGTACGCAAAGGGAGATCCACGCGGACCGAACTTCATGACGCTGTAAGGGCTGAGGTGATGCTGGGAGGCGAGGTGGGAGAGATCCATGAGTGCGAGCCAGTGATAGTTGCCTGCGGAGATGGCCGACCTGTGCGCGCTGGCGACGAGTTTGTCGCGCTGGAGGTAGTTGTACTCGCTGGCGGGGATGCGACCGTTGTGGTCGAGCTGGTAGCTGCTGATGCCGTCGAAGCCCTTGGATTGCGGTGGTTGACGCAGCAGGCTTGGGTCCCGATCTTGCGGCTTGGTGGCGATGGACAAGGCGGCGCCGGGCGCGTTTGCTATGGAAGGATCGTTGGCGGCGTCGACACCGTTGGAATGGGTGCGGTGGCTGTGGCCAATGGCGTGGCCGTTGGTGGCGGCTGTATGAACTGCATTGGCTACACCGTTGGCTTTGCCATTCTGAAACGTTGCCCCGGCGTGTTGAGAATGTGCTTTCCCGGAGGAGGAGGTGGGCCGCGATCTAGATTGACGGGACCTGTTTGCGCCATTTTCCTTAGTGGGACGAGAGTTGTTGTTGTTGTTGTTGTGGGTCTGGGACGACGTGGATGATGCAGGTGCTGGTGGACGATGCGGAAAGGTCAGAGGTTTGGAGCCGAAATCCGTGACGGGAGAGGGAACGACCGAGGTGATGATGTGCGCCGATGGCGAGAGGGGCGGCGACAAGGTGGGCTGCTGTACCACGGGTTGAGCCATTATGTATCGAGGAAGAACTGGGCTGGGCAGGTGGCCGAGCGAGGGGAGCTTTGCGCCGAGATGGCTCGTAGGCGCAGGAGGTGGAAGTCCACGGGAGCGAGTGCGAAGGGAGTTCCAGGTAGAACAAAGTTACCGACGAATGCTATATGGCCATGCTCGATGCTCGGTGCTGTGAAGTGATGCAGTAGGCGCTAGGCCGAGGAAGACGTGATGATGTCGTGGATCAAGGTGGCAGATGCGACGTTGTACGTATTGACGAGTTTGAGACGGCGCGGACAGTTATGAAGCTCGCTAAACGCCCTGATGTAGAAATGGAATCCGAGCAGAACGAGGCGCGTGCAAGCTGATCCAACGATGTAGAACTTCCGTGAGGGACGAGGCAGAGGCAAAGCAAGAGGAAGTGAGGGAGAGACGAGAAACGTGAGATCCTTCAAATGTATGCTGGGCCGAGTGAGGTCGATGCGCGGGGAACAGCAGAGTGAGCCGCGAGAGAGCGTTGGCGCGAGTGATCGAGGCTGCGCCGATGGCGAGGTGTCGTTAGCAGCAGAGCAGCGACGACGACGACAACGACAATGACAACGACGACGGCGAAGGCGATGCTGTGATGGCGAGGAGGGAGGGCGAGAGAGAGGCGGAGAGAGGGCTTGGCCAGGCCAGGGCCAGAGGATGAGAAGGATGCACACGACCGGGCCAGCCGACAGGACGGCACTGGACGAGTGAAGCGGTGGTGGTGGTGGCGGCGGCGGCGGCGTGGGGGGGCCAGCAGCAGGCCGCACCGAAGCTCGATTGCGTTGTGCATGACATGCCCCTCAGCCTGCCTGCCACACTGCAGGTCACACTTTTGTCTTTCGCTCTCTCTCTCTCTCTCTCTC